TGTGTTTTTTTAACCTTAAACCGCATAAACACATTGCATTACACCAAATACACAAAATAATGTTCTTTTTAGCAACGTCATATGACCCCTTTAAAACAGGTTTTGATCTTTCATGGTAAACACATATTGATACCACTTGTTCTGTGATTTCAGAAGCGTCAGAAAAAAAACCCCTCTACAACACAGGAGAAGTTCCTGATTTTAACATTTCTGAAGAGAGCTGCTGACAGAGATATAGAAAACACAGGTGATCCGAGAAAGCTTATTAAATAACTTTATATGCATCTTTCACAACATATTTCGCCTATATCACCATGCATCTGTAATTTTCTTTTGCAAAATTCTATATATGTGTGTGTGTTTGTGTGTGTTTGTTTGTTTGTTTGTTTGTTTGTTTGTTTGCTTGTTATTAATATATTTTATATATAAATTATATATATGTGTGTGTGTGTGTGTGTGTGTTTGTTTGTTTGCTTGTTAGTTATTTTAAAAGGGCGTTGATGTCCAAACATAAGTAACACTGTAAGAGCATTACTAAATAAGTGAACCTAAAAATGTACATTCTGTTATTAAATCCTTGTTTTGTATGTTCTGTAAATTATTATGTTTCTTTTCTGCATTTCTCCTCTGCTATAGTTTATTTATAATAAACCTGGCATTATATAAAAAATATTGTTGACTGTGATTGTTTCAGATTGTTTATGTTCCTAGATTCTTCCATGCTGATGGCCGTGCACTAGAGTTGGAGCATATCTCCTGTCAAAGAACATCTCTAGACATTATGAACCATATGACTAGTAAGTAATACCTCAAACATTCACTACCTAAAGTTTAAGGGTCAAATTTGTCATGTATTTGAAAGAAGTCTTTTATGCTCACCACCATGGGCGACATTGGGGGGGGGGGCCAAATTGTTAGTCACGGAATCCCTGATGTCGGCCCCACTGCAATTGGAGCGCTTAGCCAAGTGGACCAAAAGCGTGTGTAAACTTTATTGAGATTGACATATCAACCAGTAATTTAATTTAATTTCCAGTAACGGACGGTAGAAAGTTCAGCAATGAATGGTATGCGATTTATGACAGAATATAGTCGGAAACACTATATTAGTTCCTCACGTGTCTCGCCTTTGGTAACGACGATTCAAAACGGAAACATTTCAAGTGACACGGGAAAAAGACACGGAAAACTTCAGTGAACATCAGAAAAGCAGCGTGCACATTTCTGGTTAAAAATGAAAGGCCATCAACTGACAAACGGAAAGCATCACCATTCAAGTAGGCAGGAAGAGCCAAAGCTAGTCCACAGTTTACTAAATGGTGGCAACCTCTTTATGTTATTCTTGACTGTGTTAGAGTGACTGCTTTGATGCGTTGCAATACGGTAGGGCATTGTTTTGATGCTTACATCAGAAAAAAAAATCTTTTGCTTTTATTTATTTATTTCATATACTGTATATATATATATATATATATATATATATTCCCATTCTTTTTTCTTGCCCCCCCTGACTCAAGAGTCAAATGTCGCCCATGCTCACCACTGCTGCATTTATTTGATTAAAATACAGTAAAACAGAAAATAGTTATTAAAATATGGTAATTTCACAATATTACTATTTCAGTATGTTTTAAAAAGTGATCAAAGCTGAATTTTCAGCATCATTGCACCTGTCTTCAGTGTCACATGATCCTTCAGAAATCATGCTTTGCGAAAACAAGAATAAATTACATTTTACAATATATTCACATAGAAAACAGTTATTTTAAATAATAATATTTCACAACATTACTGTTTTTATTTATGATCAAATAAATGCAGTTTTCTTGGTGAACATGAGACTTATTTCAAAAACATAAAAAACTGACCACAAACTTTAATAACACAAGGGATTCGAATATTAATCCATTTATTCTAATAAAATGCAAGAAGCTCTTAAAAATATCATTTTTGATATTTTAAATTTGATATTTTAAAATGACAAAAAAGTAATTTTTTCCTCTGGTGATTTGTATTGTATACCCAGAATGCAATGCACAGTGATGCAGATTCCCATTCTCTATCTCCAAGCTACACACTCTTACACCGTGTCTACACTGGATGCGACAAAGTGACATAAGAATAACAAGAATAAATGAAAATGCATCTGTGACTTAATGCTGCTTCTTATTTTTCAGTGGGTTGAAAGTTCTCATCTTTGTGCATTTTCAGATGTTGTGCATATTTATGAATCAAAATGTTTAACTTTAACTTTGTTTAACTTTTTAACATCATAATATTGGTTGTCTTCTTTCTCTTTTTTTTTTTTAGAGTTTAGCTCCAACCCCAATTAAGCAGACCTGAGCAGCTGATCAAGGATCACCAGAAACTCGGTCCTCCATGCCCAGGACTGGACACCAGTGTTGTAAGTCATCAATCTAGCAGTCATCCTACCTCTCTGAATTGTCATGTTCAGAATATATTGCAGGAGGTCTCAACATTGTCTCTCAAGGTCCACTTACATGCAGAGTTTTGCTCCAACCTAGTGCAGTGCACCTGAACAAACTAATCAAGGTTTTCAGTTTTACTAACTATAAAGTCACAAACAGGTGTGTGTGATCAGGTGTGGACCTAAACTCTGGGTGTGAATCACTCAGGTCCCTTGCTCAGTAGTCAGTGGTTAAGGGCTGTCTCAATCACAAAATGTTGTTTGCTCCGTAAAAAAGCTGTGAAACCCAGGAAGCATCAATGCTCACTATGTTCCCTTATAGGAAGTTCTGAAGCTCAAAACTTGAGATAATTCGCTACAAAATGACACGTGATAGATTTTAAAACACAAACCAATATTACATTTCAGCATAAACATACATCACTAAACAGATAATGTCTAATCTAGCAAATATTTATTTATGACTGAAATCTTGCACATACATGTAACAAAGTATTTATCATAATGTGCTGTAAATAGCATTAAAAAAAGATATCAGTTTTACTGTTGTGCATAAATGCCAGTAGTGATGTTGTACAATGAGGACGGAAATAGTCACCAGTGTGTGGTAAGCCACTGTCCTTACCAGTGCCTGAATTCATGTACACAATATATTAATTCACAACCTAGCGAACTATGAAGCTGATCTTGAGGGCCAGAGTTGAGAATCCCTGACATACTGATTAGTTAATAATCACTCATGAAGAACGAGTACACTTTAATTTGTACAGAAATATGCACTATTTGACTCATATTCAGTGATACTATTATCTTTTTTCCCCCCTTTTGTTTGTGTGTCAATCACAGCTAAATAAAACCAAAGGCCATTCAGCCACAGGTCACTGCATCTTTTCATTTTTTTGAATGTCAAATACATTCTCAGTATTTATATTTGGTTTGGTTTTTATAACCGTTTTAGAGTCACCGTTTTGGTACGGTTCTTATGTACTATCCTTTTAACATTTCAACAGCTGACTTCTTTAGTACTTGCATAGTAATTTTAATTGTACCACATTTGCAATACATATATAGCAGGGCTCCAGACTAACTTTTGAGAGCAGTGGCACCAGCGCCGCTGAGTTCTACAGATGGTGGCGCCAGAAGCAGATTTGGTAGCGCTGGGGGTGGTGTGTGGGCGGTATTAAAAATAAAGATAATTAAATCATAAAATTATTATAGTTTTGCATTAATAAGTGTAGTTACTAGTAAGATTACACATTTATTTATTGGTAATGCACATTTGACAGTAAAGCACTGAGCTTGAGTTGGGAAGCACAAAATGTACTTTTATTAACAACAGTAACGTGCAAAATGTAAGTTTTATATAGAAAATTAACATATTCTACTCTTATTAAATGTACCATTATTCTTCTGTAGTATTATACCGAACTGACCAACAACTTCAGTGATTATAAAAGGAGCTCTCTTGCTTTATGTGTGATTCAGTCAGAGAAGTTTGTTTTTCAAGGCACTTGGTGACTTTTCTTACTTCATACAAAAAAAAAGCAAAACTTTTACAAAATTTGATTTCTTGATGATTTAAAATTTTGTAATAGTGATTTTATAATTTCAAAATATAAAGTTAAAAGTAGAAATGAATGACTAATAAGCCTATAAGCGTTCATCTGCTGCCATCTACTGGTTATAGTGGTAATTTGATGCCACTTTTTTTTATTTTACAAAAGTGTTTGTTTACCACAAAGTATATTTTGGTCATCCCTTTACAAATAACATTTTAATTGTATGCTTTCTATAGTTTTAAAGTGCTGTAAATAGTTCTGTGAAATACTTAAAAGTGCTTGAATTTCTCTCTCAAAAGGTTTTACAAACCCTGAAATGCATAATGTAATGAAATTAAACTATTTCTGCCACAACAGCATGGTTATAGTTAGCGTTACTACTTCTGGTTATATGTCAGCGCTGTTTGACCTGTTTACAACAGATTTCTGTGAATTTGAATGTTTCTCACTAGAGCTCACAGCAACCTTTATTCATTCTGCAGCAAATTCAAGTGCTTCTCACTGGATCTCGCACACTGTGCAGTAACAGTGTCGCGAAATCAACACTGCTTCCTGAGTAAACCTGTTCTTAGCTCTGAGAAGTTTGTTTGCTCTGTGCTGATCCGAGCTGATAAACGGTCTGCGCTGGACAGCTCAAACGAGTAGCGCGGTTTCTATAGCTTTTGTTTCGCTTGCTGTTTGATGTTTCTCATATGCAACAGAAATAGCAGCGCTTATGAGGTGGGGCAACGTAGTGGTCGTGCTAGTGTGACTGCTCACCAAATTTAGTCGCACCGACAGAAAAAAACAGTCACAAAATGCGACCATTTGGTTGCAGTCTGGAGCCCTGTATAGGAAGTGACAAAAAACTGTGTTGGAAATTCTAGAAAATTGTTCTTATCCTGTAAGTCCCCACTCTTTTGTGCCCTAAGGTAGAAATGCCCTAACAGTAGGGAAAACTCAAGTGTATACTTTACATTTTGGACAACCATTGTTTTTTTTATTATTATTTTTACGTTTACATTTTGGTTATTGTTTTATTTCTCACTTTAGATGCTGAAGAAAAAACAGCCAGAAATTGTTCTTATCCTGTAAGTCCCCACTCTTTTGTGCCCTGAGGTGGAAATGCCCTAAAATTAGGGAAAACTCAAGTGTACACTTTACATTTTGGACAACCATTGTTTTTTTATTATTATTATTTTTACATTTACATTTTGGTTATTATTTTCTTTCTCACTTTAGATGCTGGAGAAAAGAAGATCAGAGATCAGGCATATATCTACTGGTGCCCCTGAGGGAACCGATTTAATGTGTTAGTTAAACCAAAAATTTTCATCACTCACCTTCATGTCATTTCAAACCTGTAAGACTTTTGTTCATCTTTGAAACATAAATGTAAATATTTTTAATGAAATCTGAGAAATTTCTGCCCCTCCATTTCACAGTTTATGCAACTACTACTTTCAAGCCTCAGAAAGGTAGTAAAGTCATCATTAAAGTCATCCATGTGACTCCAGTTGTTTAACCTCAATTTATGAAGTAATGTGAATGTTTTGTGTGCACAAAAAAACATTGAATTTTTATTTACAAAATAACATGTTCACGAGAGCACCATGATGCATCAGTGTTGCGTTGGCGTGAGAGCTGGCCATCTCATGCTGCTTTTGTGAAAATGCGTTGGAGATACACAATTTGTGAATAAAGATATACTATTTTTGTTGTTTCACAAAATGGTCTTATGGGTTTGGAGCGTCATGAGGGTAAGTAATTAATGACAGAATTTATATTTTTGGGTGAAATATGTTCTAATGTGGTTATAATTGGTCATTGTTTGTTTTATAAACATTTTCAATATTTTAAAGATTTATTGTTTTGAAAACTGATGTTTATACAAAAAAGATGGATTAATTTAATGAAAAGTTACAAGTAAAGACTTTTAAATTGTTAAAAAAACTGTTTCAAATAAATCGTCTCAGGTTACGTATGTAACCATGGTTCCCTGTGTAGGGAACGAGACACTGCGTCCTCTAGGCTTACTGCCATGCGTCGAACGCAAGCTTCAGACGAAGAAGTGAATGACATGTTCTCCCGGCGCCTATTTATACTGTAGTCAC